AGTGACACTGGCCGGAACAAGTTTGCGAAGTGGTCTCTTTTATGTCATAACTGAATGCAGCTTGTGTTTAAACTGCATCCCACTAACACACACAGTTTCTAAGGCTACTTCATGAGTGTATAGTTCCATTTGCCTCAAATAATAAACAAATGTGACGAAAGATTTGTCCACAAAAATCGTCCAAATTGCGTTTGTGGCGGAAGAATTAGCGGCCGATTCCTAAGACATCAGGGGTTACACACGACAGCCTGCAAATGATTCTAAGTCAATATATATATATATATATGTATACATATGTAATATATATATATATATATATATATATATATATATATATATATATATATATATATTATATATATATATACATATATTATATATATATATATATATATATATATATATATAATATATATAATATATATATATATATATATATTATATATATTATATATAATATATATATTATATATATATATATATATACATACATATATATATATATATATATATATATATATATATATATATATATATATATATATATATATATATATATATGCATATATAATTATATGAATACACACACACACACACACACACACACACACACACACACATATATATATATGTGTCAGTGAGCACGAAAACGCACAAGGTGGCTATGTTCGTTCCTACCTTGACTTCGGGAGTACACCACAAGAACTGCTTCGAATTGCGCCTGAGTGTCCCATTATATACTCTGCACTTAACGCTGACACAGACTGGGAGATGGAAGGAGGGGGAGGGGGGTTGGGTCGGACCTTCTAGTTAATCCTTCTCATATCCCCCCCCCTCCTCCCTCAGTCTTCTCCCTCCACTTCCCCTCCCCAATCTCCCCTCCCTCCCACCCCACTCCCTGCGGCACCCTTGTAAACTCGCTATGGAGAACAAGTAAGGAATGCAGGAGTTGGGTGGGGGTAGGGGATAGGGTGGGTGGGAGGAGGCGTCAGAGGGAGAAGGAAAACCAATTGTTTCTTTTTGTGGTTTGAAAAAAATGATAACTAAATGAGTTTATACGAAAAGGTAGTCTTTTTTATCATTATTACTATTATTGTTCTTATTGGTACCATTGCTATCATCATCATCGTCATTATTTTTACTCTTATCGTTGTTGTTGTTACTTCTTTTATTATTGTCATTTTCATTTTCGTTACAATGAAAGTGATAATGAAATTCATTATTATCATTATCTGTTGGCATTATTATTACCTTTATTTTTATTATCATTATCTTGAATATCAATATTATCATTATCACTATTATTGATATCATTATTATATTATATATCATTATATTATATTATATTACTATATTATATCATCATCATTATATCATATCATCTTATCATTATTATTATTATCACTAATCAGTATGGTTATTATCATTTCTAATAACATTGTTTATATTATCATTACCATTATCAATATTGTTATCATAACTATGTACATAATTATCATTATTGTTATCGTTATCAATATATAATTATTAATTATTATAATGATAAATATAATAAATAATATTAACTGTCATCATTATCATATTTTTTTATTACCTTATCAATGGCATCATCAATAATTTTTTTGTCATCATTTTTATTATGATACTTTTTATCGTTATGATCATCCTTTATCATCATATTATCATCATTTCATTATCAGTATTATTATCATTTTCATGATCATGAAAATTATGATTACCATTGATATACTTATGAATATCATTGTTATTATTGTTAATATTATTGCTTTCATTATTATTATCATTATTACCATGTCTTTATTATCATTATTCTTATCATTGTTACCGTTATCATAATTATCATTATTATTGCCAATCTGCTATGATCATTTTATTAATACCATCCTTGTATATGTATATGTGTACATATATATTTGTATATATATCCATTTGTGTATATGTATATATTACATAAACGAATGGAATAAACGTTCGTTAGGGGAAGCCAAAAATGCCTTCGCAATCACAGCACAAACAGGTAAGTGCTTGTTCCTGCTGCTAGTTGAATTTGCAATTGTGTAATTGCCTTTACCATTACGGTATTGTAAAGCTGTTTGCGTGAATAATAATGCTATATATATATATATATATATATATATATATATATATATATATATATATATATATATATATATATATAAGAAAAAACACACAAACACTGAATACACTTACAAGCCTACCAATCTACACTTAAAGAC